AAACAAATTTCCATTTAATTTATAGTAACTGTTACGTAATACTTTCTTTATTAATGTAATTTTGTTATATAATAATATTATGTAAGTATGTTTGAAATTCGTTACGTGAGAAATTGAAAATTTATTAAATTTTCTTTTAAATATAATGTTATACATTTGCATATTAAATTATTACAAGATTTTATTTAAATAGTTATACATAATTTTATTTATTTTAATTATTTTTATACATATGTGTATAAGATTAATGTTATGTGAGAAAGTTTTTCTATATAAGTAAGTAAAGAGAATTATCATTATTACATATAAGAATTTAAATTAAAATGTACCGAAATAAAATAATTTAAGGCTCCTTTCAGAAGCAAGAATAATATGGAAATTATTTTGTCATATAGTATAAAACATAAATTACTTCTAAAGCACAAATTACACCTTAGTCAATAACTAGACTTAAAGATATATTGAAACATCAACTAATTCAATATTAAATGCAAAAGGAATATAATTAAATAATAAGTGAATTTGTACTCTTGTGTTTGTTAGAGTATTACAACAAGCTACATAATTCATAGCTCTTTTTACAAATTTTATATTGAAATAATATAAAATTTATTTGCCAGGAACTCACTAAAAAGGTATTTAAACTCATGGGTACACCAAATATCCGAGCTTTGAAACGTAATAGGTCTTTGGTTAAAATCTAAAACGTTTTAAGTTGGAAAACTCTGCAAGAATGCAAGAGAAATTAAAAAAAAACCAAACATTAACGAAAAAGTTATATTTGGCTTATATAGGAAAAACGCGAATACAGAAAAGAACCTCAAAATTCGATATAAGACAATTTTGATTTAAAAGCTAAGAAACAATTTTGAACATACGCTATATAAGTAGTAAAATCAAATATCTAACTATATTTTCAAAAAGATTTATTGTTCCTTATTCCATAAGAGCAATTTAAGTTTTTCTCTTTTTTTTTGCATTCTTGAAAGGGAAAATATTTTTATGACTAAAAGAAATGTATTGATTTTCTTTTATTTCATCACATAATCACTTGTTTGGAAGAGAATAACCTTCCCGTAATTTTTGCTTTTACATTTTTACAATGTATATAATTTTTAAAGTCAATAAATTTTGAATTTTTAAAATCCAAAAGAACAATATATTCTCTTGTATAATTATGTGTAGTTTCTATGTAATTTACATCGTTTTAATTTCTATAGTATTTACTACACATTTCAAACAACCTTATATTATACGGAATACATAGGTTTTTCTTCGATTATGCTCTTTAATTTGAAATGAACTTCTGTTTATAATTGCATCCTTTCTGAATTTTACTACTTTCAATTTTATAAATTAAATTAAATTTTAATTATAAAATTATTAAATTTACAAAGTAACAAAAATTACTAAAAACTTACAGTGATGAAAATTACTGTTCAAATTAAATTAAAACTTTAATTTTATTTAACACAACTGGAACTACTTGAGATTAACAATTGACTGAATTCATTTAATTATTATTAAGAGAAATTAGAATATTAATTCAGAGTTATAACAAAGTGTAATGTAACTACAAATCATCTAGCAATGTAGTTATAGTTATGTGTAGCGATGTATTCTATATATAGTTCCCATATACATATGTGTATATGTTAGGTATACATATATAGTATAATAATCAGCCTGATTTTATTAAAAATTGTTAAGTTATATTACAGATAGTTGTGATTTCAAAAAATTTTCCATAATTTCAAATCTACTTATTAATTCATCAGTGAATTCATCAGTTTCAACTTTGTATAAAAACAACCATTTTCCTTTTACAATGTGTGTTTGTAAATAATATTGAAACAAAATACCTAATAGAGAAAATTTTATTAAATGCGTATATAGATTAAAAATTTTCCAAATTTTTTAAAACTAATAAATTTCGTTATCATATAATGGAAAACAGAAAAGATAAAAGAATTACGAATGTCAATGGTGATATTCTGTTATACATGATTAGTATATGTATAAAAGTTAATAAATTCCTCTCACTCTCTAATATAAACAAATTTTAAACACATAATATCACATTAAAATCCCATCAACACAATATAATGTAAAATAAATTAATTTTGTTGAAATGTCTAAATTTTAAAAAATAATTTTAACTCTACCCATGCAAAACACATACATATACTCATACGTATGCATGTAGATATATTGGAAAAGATTTATGTGATAAATAGATTTTTACGCGAATTGAAAATTCATAAAAGGCGCCACAAAAACTATCCAAACATTGAATAAAATTTTTTGCACACACATGGTGTTTTTTATTTCTTGTCAAATCAACTATAAAAAATAATGTATAACATTTAACGTGATTTAAATTCTTAAAATTGATTTATTTTTGGCACATTAAATATACCAAATAAAAATAAAAACAAAAATAAAAAAGAATTTACAAAAAATTTATGTGAATTACTTTTATTGAACCCAATTAATCAAAACTCTACATACATACATATATGTTCATGCTTTCGTACTCTATACTCTACAGTCGACATGCATAATATACTTTCAAATATTTCAATTTAATAGCTATTTGTTTTAACTATACCATACATATCATATATATCGTAAATAATTTACACATATATGTATATATATATATATATTATGTATATATATATATATTGTAAATATTTATTTATTTTTATTTTACATTGTGACATTGCGCAGGTGTTTCGATTTACTTTTCCAATTTTTTCTTCTCTTTTGAGAATTTTATTTTCTCCGGTTTTGTAATAAATTAAATTTAAGTTCCTTAAAAGTTTATACCTCTTTATTGTATATTTAAATTTATTAAGGATTAAATAAATCATATATTATCCAAAATTCTTATAAAAAATCCAAATATTGTAAAAATTTTTAATTTTGTCATGACGCATATGAAGACGTTGTGGTTTGAAAGTCTTTGTGGTTATATGGAAAAATTATCAAAAAATATGTTGTAAAGCACATTTCAATATATAGTATAAATTTAGATCACGATTTAGATTTAGTTAAACATGAGAATATAAATCAACTCAGAATTCGACGCTGATCAGAAACGTACACTTATGTCTATATCTCAGACCACTAATACCTATCGTTACACATACGTTCGTATGGGTAGAATTTAGATAGATAAAACTATATAGAATTGAAATTCTAATCAGTTTTCAAAAAATTATCGTTTTAGAGATTTAGAAGAGAAGATTTACTCTAATAAATTAAATTAAAAGTCTAATAAATTAAATTTTTAATTTTCAAAATAAGAAATGTAACTTTTTAAACTTTTACTTTGTAAGTTTGACCACGTAACAAATCAAAAACTAAGCAGTTTAAGTACAACTGTTGACTGTAACAATTGTACAATTGACATACAATTGTCTTAAAATTCAAGATTATTAAAAATAGTCATAATTTCAATAAATTATATTTTAAATGGTTTTTCTTACAATATTCTAATATTTTCTAGTCAATATAATCCAATAAAAACCGTAAACTTTAATAATTAAAATAAATATGCCTCTACATTTATTCAATTAAAATAAAATTTTATAAAATGAAATCTATATTAATCTAAATATATAATATTATACTTTAAATCACATTAAGATATTTATTAATTGCACAAAAATATTAAACTTTTAAAAAGAAAATCATTAATTATCATAATTATAACAATATTATTAATTAATAATATTAAAATGGATAAGTATATATACAATAAGTTGATTTACTTTAAAAGTATAGATTAAACTTTCTCGTACGCATAATATTTTTCTATTTTTAACATTATAATAGCATATAGTTTGGAAAAAACAGAAAGCTGTTCCAGTAAATCACTATGGAAAATATACATATTTGCTAAATAAACTAGTTTACTAAAATTTAAAAACTAAAATAGACAATTTTTATAATATTAAATTGAATTTAAATATAGTAAAATGATTATTATATCTTCGTATTCAAATTAAATATAAATTTAATAATCAACTACATATTATATATAACATAACATACATATATATAGAAAAAGTTGTTTTTAATTAATGAAAATTTTAAACTGGAATAAAAATATGAAGTTTTTCAATTAAAATCAGTAAAAGATATCAAAGAAGTTCATTGTAAATGATAAGCCTCTTGAATATCTCATAAATCATAAAAGGAACTTGATTGTACAATAATGTTAGTATAACATTTAATGTGTGGAAAACTTTTTTTTAATTTATGTATGAAACACATTGTATGAAAAGTTTAAATATAATGTAATTTAAAATTTTCAATTTTATCATATCTTTGGAATAATCCGTGTTCAGGTTGATAACTTTATATAAAATTAATGGTATTTGATTAAAATTCAAAAAATTAAATGTTAACCCAAGCAATTATAAAACTTTAAAAATTATTAAACCAGTTGAATCTTAAATGGCGACACAACAGGTATATATAATCAATTTTAGCCTAGGAAACCAAAATTTTGTTGCAAACCATTTTAAAGTAATAAAAGAACAATTTTGTCCTTAAATTTTTCGAAATCTTGGCCTCTGTTATAAATTGTTAAAATATCAGGTAATGGTATTACATACAATTGTATTTGCAAAAAATCATAAATTTTCTTTGCCACACATATGACGGGTCCTCTTCTTAAAAGCAACAAAATAAATAGGAAATTCATGTTTTAACCAAATTTTCGGAAATATCTATTAAATATTTTTTTTCCTTGAAAGTGATATTTAGAATCTAAATCCGGAAAGGAATTTCATTTGAAGTATCTCAAAAAATATAAGTCTTTTTACTCGTATTATAAAATACACCAAGCCTTAAAGATTTGAAGATCAGCCACAGGAATCAATGTACAATAGAACAATTCTACATAAAAACCCCAATATTATTTAATAAATTATTTAATAAATATAATAAAACAAAAAATACTATAAGAAAAAGAATTACAAACTTACAAGCTTTTCCTTTCAGATGTTCAAAATTTTCTCCATAATTTGTTTTCCTTTTCAAAATAGATTTTATAAATGAAAATAAAAATATACTAGCTATATTAAAAATAAATTTTAATAAAATTGTTGTATATTTTTTTCTCACTTATTTATTTTTTATTTCCTCTTGTTATTGTATTTTTTTTTATAGCACCAATTTTAGATTTTAAAATAGAACAAAAATATTCTTAAAAAATTTTATTTTTACGTTAATTATTTTAATAGAATCAAATATTTAATCAAAATATTTTATTTATCAAAAATTATCTTTAATTAATTATTTTTATTAAAATTATTTTAAAATACAAAACATGTACTTTTTACGACCACAATTAATTATCAATAATTCTTTATCTTATATGTATTTTTTTTTTCTTTTATATAAAAAATTCAATTAAATTTAAGAATATTCATTAAACAATAAAATAATTAAATAAATAAATAAAAAAACTAAAAAATAAACAAGAAGCTTTAATTTATATTATGAAAAATGTAATAAAAATAATTGAAAGACTTGATTAGAGAAACTCGGAAAATTAAAAAAAAAAAAAACGAATTTATATTAAATTTTTTTTGTTATTAAAAAAATATAAATTAAGACAAAAAAAGAAAAATATGAAAATCACAATGTCACGATTGTAAATATTGTCTAAAAAAAAAAAGGAAATTTATTTGAATTCAATTTTTTGAAAGGAAAATTCACTTGATTTGTAGCAAAGTTCAATTTCACGAAATTTAAAACAGTGAATTTTAATATGTGATCGACTGCTGTAATATCATCAATTGTTCATTTAAAAAATTTATCATATACTCTTGAAGTTTTATTATTATTACTAATTATTTTATTTAATATTGAAAATCTATATATCTGATACTCGTATGTTTATTAAAATATCCAGAAGAAATTCACTGATATTCAAGTAACTAAATACTTAAGCAATATTATGCAAATTTTCAATTTAACATACAATTTATATATATATGTAGATATGCATTATTTCTTTATTTTTTTTTAATAGTACATTGTAAATTGATTTATTGTTATATATTTTTTTTTATGTTTACTTTTTCTCCTGTTCTTCAAAAATTAAATGAGAAGAGTAGCTATTTATAATTATATATTTCTTAATTTAACATGCATTTTCATATATATATATATATATTTATTTATTTATTATACATGAAAATTTTATCTCTTCTTATTGTATATTGTGTACAGTAAAGTAAAAAAATATTACCATTAATGTTATATGTTTTTTTTTTTTGCTTATAATTTATGTAGGCCGCAATAATTATAAAAAGTAATTAATGTTTACAGTATATTTCGATACATAATGCGTATACACATACATACGTTATATATATGCGTGTAGAATGTAAGATATTTTTTACAACCTTATATTTTATATACCTTCAAATATACCTTTAGTAATCACCTCTTATCATTTTATTATTAACTTTTATTTATTTTAATTTTTTATTTTGTCTCTTATTACCTGTCCATACACACTTTTAACATTAAAAACAAAAGAAAAAAATTAAATTTACTTTTCCTTTATAATTTTTCTTTTCATTAGTTTTTTGTTTTGTTTATGTTTTTAATGCGTATACTACAAGAATGTTGTATACTTTTTTAGCTCTCACTTTTTTTTTAATGAGATTTTAAATTTTATAATAAAAACAAACACACTGCACACAGGAAAATAAAAAAAATATTATTAAAATTTAAATATTCTCTTCTCTTTTTTTTTTAATTATCACTTTTCATTTTTGATTTTCGCATTTGTTTTTCTTTTTCTGTTTTATGACAAGAAATTGTATTTGAGCACTAAATGAAGCCCTTTTTCAAATTGTTATTGAATTTTTTTAATTAAAGTGCTCAATTTGTTTCTTGTATTTTCTCTTTTATTATTTAATTACTTATTTTTTATTTAATTTAATTTAATTTTTATATTTAATTATCTTGCAATCTATATAATATAGCATCGCATATTTGAATATTAATTTATTTTAAAGATTTTAATTAAAAAAATTTATTGTGTTTTTCCATTAACTCTTAATTAATTTTTCCATTAATTTTATTTAATTTTATTTAATTTTATATTTTAAATATACTTTTATTGTTTAAATAATTCCTCGTATATAATCGTAAATCTTAATATTCACCTCAATTTATTCAAAAATCTACAAATGATTTGAATTCAGAAACGCGATCTCTTTTAAATACGAGAAAGAAGTTTGAACAAAATTTTAATAATTTTAGCGATTTTAATAAAATTTCTTATATTTTTATTATAATCCTTTATTTATGCAAATTTTTTTATAATAATAAAAAATTCATCAATTTAAAATTGTCAATAAAATTTTCTTTAAAAATCAAACATTAAGTTGGAATTTAATTTTTCTTTTCATTTTTTTATTTCTGTTTTTTTCTTCATTAAGTCCTCTAATATTATTTCGCAAAAAAAAAAAAAAAAACAAAAAAACACCAACAACAGAGGACTAAATTGAAAAAAATTTTTTAAAAGAAAAAAAAATAAAAAAAAATTTTAGTTAAAAGTCGGAAAAATTCGCGACTTACTCAAACGACGGTTGTAATTAAACTGATGATGGTGAATGGAATGAATAAAATGTTAAGCAAAACTTTTATTATGGTATTTTAGCTTTCAATATTATACATAAGGGGATTATTGCTGTTTATTATTTTTATTATTATTATTTTATTATTTTTTCTTCGTTTTTCTGTATGATGGCATGATGGTAAGTGCTGCTTTTTTTTGCTGCTGTTAATGCTGCTGTTACTGCTGATATTCGAGTTATTGTTGTTTTAGTCTTTTTTCTTATTCATATAGTTATTGTTATTTTTCTCTGTTAAATATTATATATGCGTATTATTTATATATTGCTAATGTGTTGCTTGCTCATTATTATTATTACTTTTAGTATTATTACTGTTAATATATAAGTAATGTTGCTACTTTTCTGTAATTCTGTATAGATTATATTATAGTTATGTTATATCATTATTTTTGTTGTTGTTTTTTTTTTCAAGTTAAAAAATCTCAAAATTCTTGTTTAGGTTTAAAGAAAAATTATTTTGCACTTTTTATTTTTAATTTTTTTTTTGTATGTTACGTTTTTGCCGCTATATAATCATCAAGATATCTTAGTTACTGTTATATGCAGACATAATTATTGAAGATGAAAGAAAATCAAATGTGTATATACATTATAAATACAGATAAAAAAAAAAATTTCTTTTCGTCATATGTACGTTCTTATTTATGAACTAGAAGAGACTAAGTGATGAAACAGAAACATTGACGGACAGGTGATGTTATTTTTGAGATTTCTTTCACTTATTAAATTTTAAGATTAATGTAAAATAAATGTTAATATTAAAATTTTGAAATTTTTATAAATATTAGAGAATCGCTGAATATTACAGCACTCATTAATTTCCTTCTAGTCGAATAAAAATTATTTAGGCATTCTCGTGTAGCGTTTTACCTGATTTTTAATACAAGTCATTAAATTTATACTATAAAAATTATTCGGCCGGCCTTAAAGTATTTCTTATAACATTAGAAACATAGAGAGTATTTGGGACTATTGTCTTGTTTTATCAATGTAATACAAATAAATTTGCAATAGTTAAAATTTTAAGACAATAAAATATTTTATGATGCGCTATATTCTCTTTTATGTAATAAATGAAATTTTCTGCAAAAAATCTCTTATTTCTGTCAATTATTTTGTTAGATTAAATGGAAGTAGAAGTCAATCCAATTGCTCGTAAAGTAGTTGTTTCTCCCTTGAAGAAATGAAAATATGTCCACTAATTAAAATCCAATATTCTATACTTAAATTATTCTCATTATTTTACAAAAATTATTTTATGCAATAAAAAATTGTTGCATGGTTTTCGGAAAAAGAACAAATTCTAAAAAAAGTGTTAATGTTCTAATCGAATTTGACATTAATAATTTTATAGAAATTTGGAAAAGCTTATAATTTTGAAAATTAAACAGGCTAAAAATGTAAATTTTTCCAATTTTGAAAGGCGGCAAATAACTTAAAAGTGAGATGAAATAAAATTTTGCACAGTTGAAATAAATTTTACAACTTAGTATCTTAAAAGGTTTTGAGTTAATAGTTGACTTTATTTACACGGCCATTTTCTGATTTTAGTGTTCGCTTAAGATGTTTTTCGGTAGAAGAAAAAAGTTTGCAATAAAAGGGGAAGAAGGAACAAATTGCAATACGCACACTAAAAATTAAAATATTTCAGAAAAAAATGTTAAACTTAAATCTTTAACAGGAAATAGTCAGAAACCAATTAGGCATATTAAAATATTACCAATATTCCAACTATTGGTATATATTTCAAATATTTAAAGCAAATGTCCTTTTAAAATATAACAAAAGCAGTATAATTTTTTCCTCACATTTCAGTTAACCTCGTACTTAAATTACAACAGTTACTGCCTTGCAACATTTTATTCAACAGTATTCAATGTAAATTAACAGACTACTTAATATAATTGAGAGAATAACAGAAATTGATGAGAGAAAAATATTGAAAAATTTTAAAAATGAATTCGCCACAACAGCGAAAACATTTTTTGATCTCATTTTTTTTATGTTCATTTTCTTAGTGTTTTTTTTTCAATGTTTTTTCCTTCAATTTCATTTTATTCAATTTATTTTATTTGGCCTTTTTATATAGATCTCGATCTCAATCGTTGCTTACAGCAATTTTACTATATAGAGAGTAGCAAAGTATAAAAAAAAACAAAAAAAAACGAAAAAAAAAATAGAAAAGAGCAATTTACCTGTTATAAACCAGCTGATTTTATTCATAGAAAAAAAGTGCAGTTATATTTTAAGCATTTTCCATTCAAATTTTCTTCATATTATCACGGTGGTTGAATTTTTGTAAATTTATTTTTCTTTTTGTTTCTTTTTTGCTTATGGAATTTACTCGTTTACTATTTTTTCAGTGAATTATCAAAATATATGTAAGTATGTGTAAGTATAAA